CTTTTTTCTGTGAAGCAAAAGCAGTTTCATTGGAAATGTGCAGAATGAAGGAAGGAGAGGGATGGAGTCTCTTCTTTTGCTGTTTTGGAGCCGCAGATAGAGGCCAGTGGCCTTGCTCACATGCCTGTGTGTAATGACAGTTTGTGCTAGAGAGAGGATGGGAATCCACTCTTCATTGCTTGTGGCCATGACCAGCTTACTTCTGATTATACTTTTAAAAAGATATTATCCCTTTCTCCTCAGGCTCTCGGGAATAACTGTATTCAAGCAATTTTACTGAGGATATTAAAAAAATAATTGAGAATGTATGCTTGTTTAGGGACAAAATACTGCCACCAGTAGCTCTAGTAATAAACTACCAATAATGATGTAGTTTGTGCATTTTCCCAAGGAACTTTTTAGAAATGTTTTGTAGTGCTCAGCAGGGAGCCTGCCACATAGTATGCAAATGTTTGCCAAAGGACAGAATAAATGAATACCCATCCCGATGAAACCACAGTAACGGAGATGGTTCAGGGCACACAGACGTCATTATGTGAAGTGCTACTGCAGGCATCTACTACTTCCTAAGTGTAGAAATCATTATGGCTTTATAAATAGAAATGATCTAATATGATAAACTTACTTGAATGTAAAATAAGCAGAACCTTTTGTGGACTTATGTCCAAATTTAACTCCAAATAGATGGGCCATATTTATTTTCTGGACTGTTTTTACAATACTATTACAATGCTTAAATTTTGTTGTAAACCATAATTGAACCCCAACAGTTAGGGTTTATTTGCTGAAACACAAAGTGAATCTTACTTCTGAATAGTGTTTCATACATTGGGCACAGTGAAGGCATAGCAAAAGTAGGTTTCCTTTTTCTTAAGCTTTTCACCGTGAGATAGTACTTTATAATGTAAATAGAAAGTGAAGAATAAGGGTTTTAATCCAGAATTCTAGGGCCTGTGCCTTAATCATTTTAATATACTACTTGTTCTCTACCTGTGTCCTCATTGCATGTGAAAAAGTATTTAAGAGGTAAAAATTCAGATCCTTGCATGTCAGAAAATATGAGAGGACTTCAGACAATTCATGCAAAAATGGAATTAGAGCACAAGTTTATTTTAGGCAAAAAGAATCAAAATAGTTTGTTTTCATGATATGATTATCCCATGAGCTTTTTAAAGAACGTCCCATATTTCAATAATGTAATATTTCTCTGTTGACATTGGGCATCAGAGATACCTTACTTTGACATAATGGAAGGACCCATGGCATTGCCTTTATTAGAAGAGAATATATTTTTTTCATGGAAGAAAATTAATATGATGACTGGTGCTTTTAAAAATTAATTATGTTTTCTGAAGATCTGAGTTATGTTTTACTTTGGGGGCATATAAAGAAGTACTGATGAAAACAAAATAAAAATAAATAAACTTAACTGCTACCAGGACTTTATTGGTCATTTCACTGAATACAAAGAACTCTTTTTTTTTTTTAACATTAAGAACACAATCTTATCAAAAAAACTTCACATTTTCTATACAGACTGTAAGTATGGATTTTCTTTACACCACATTTATTAAAATATCAATGACCAGATCCTAAAAAGAGAAGGCACAGATCTGTCTCCCTCTGGTGAATTTCTAGTGTCTAATGAAGGAAATGTCACCAGTTCTGCAAATTTCCAATCTCTAGAAATAAAGCAAATCAATACAAATATGTGCAAGCAGGAATATGAGATGAAAATTATATTTATCAAGGGATTTAGATATTCTCGTATCTTACAAGAATTTCAAGAGAGGAGGTAGCTACCGAAAATATTCCAAAACTTCAGCCACATTCTATGTCAAAGAGTCACTGTTGGAAACCATGGCATTTGAAAGCTCTATTTGAGGAATTCCAGCATGGTTCTAGTCTGCAAACTGTTCTAGAAAACAGCCTTAGATTTCACTGTTTCTATTCTGAGGCTTCTGGGGTTTTCAATTTCTGATTTTAAAATGCTGGTCTTTATAAGTTGCCTTGGGAACTTTCCATCAGGCACTTTCTATCTGCCCACATGTTATTTCTCCACAGTGCCCTGAGGAGGGACTTACAGGGTTATGTTTACATATCAGACTCTTGTTTAGCAGTGAAGAGAGTTCCTTTCTATGTCACATTTTCTACAATTCCATAGATGACCAGTTTTAACCTAAAAAAAAAAAAATGTGGTAGGTGCTAATGGAAGAAATAGTAGATAATTTTGTTACTTCTCTGACAGAAAAAAGAAAATGAGTTTTAAAAGAAGTCGTGGTAAAAAGTTATAAGGTACTGCCAGTTTCCAGAAGCATTTTTAATGTGTGGGTGTGATTTTCGCTTTCCCAATTACAAGGAAATGCTACTGACCAGCTTAATGGGTAGACTCCAGGCCTCACAACAGGTCAGTGAAGGGAAATTTTGAATTTCTTGGCATTAGTCTTATAAGATACTTGCTTGAGGAGGCCAGCAGATGGTGCAGAGACAGCAGGAGTCCCATATAGTCAACACCGGTTAGAGCCCTGGACCTGTAGCTTGAAAATCACATGGGGCACCTATGCCTGCATGCCTCCCCAAAATCCCAAGAGAAAAAAGGAAGACAAGAGGTTGTGGTGTGGCCATCCCCCCACGGGGGGGATTTCTCACTTTCCCTCTTTCTGTCTCTCTCTATCTCTCTTAGGCCAGCACACACATCCTATGGCAAAAACTTAAAAAACAAAAAGATAACTTGCTTGATTATCTATGTTTGAGTTGGTCTTTCATAAAGCATTTGTGGGACCTGATATGACTAATATTTTCCTTTATGAAGGGAATTATGACTACAGATTTTCATGAGGTATCTTAACTTTTGATCATGGAGGGAAATAGATCTGACAGGTAGCTGAAAAATATAGAGAGACAGCATGGAAAGGGTTCTATATTTAGTGAAAAAAATAGGGACCAGCAGTTGGCATAATGGCCATGTTTCTGGACTCCCACATAGTTGACCACGGTTTGAGTCCCGGACCCAGTGGCTTAAACTCATGCCGGGCATATGTGCCTGAAAGGAGAATGGAGGAGAAGGGATTGCGGTGTAGCCATCCTCCCTGGAGAGTGATTTCTTGCATTCTGTCTCTCTGTCTTTCTGGCGAGTGCATGCACCCTATATATATATATGTCATATATTCCCAGTCAAATTTAATTTCAGACCACAACAATTATTTTTAGTGTACGTCCAATGAAATATATAGGAAATACACTAAAATGTATCGATTGTTTATGAGAAATTTAAGTTTTACTGAGTGTTCTGTATTCAACTCTAAATATTGAAAAGAAACAATTGAAAATGGAGAAAGAAAGAAAATGAAAAGGTTATTTAATAATCTACCCTCAAATTCTAAGCTCAAAGAAGATTATGATTTTTGCTTTGAGCATGATCACCTGTTCAGGTCCTTGAGTTAGATATGTTTTCCATGGCTGAACTACCACATGGGGAAGTCAGACTGGTGTGTGTTTTGTTTTGTTTTTTTGAGAAAGAAACCATGTTGGAACCATGGTGATTATCCTTTAATGACTCTCATAGAATAGTTTATTATACACAAGAAGGTCCAATTTTTAAAAAGCAATGGTTTGAAGAAATAATTTTTCATGGAAAACATATTAAAGCATAGATATTCCTTCTTGGGAGAAACAAATTTAGAGATACACTCGTTCTGTGGCTGATAAAAACCAGTGTGAATTTAGCCTAGTTGTATAATGATGAGATTAATAAATTGATGTTTAATAATTTAAAAAAGCATGAAGTACTCCACAAGCCAAACAACTTGCTTGTGGGAACTCTGATCAATTCTATAGCACATTCCTTACAAGATTAAAAAAAAGGCATCTTTAACAAAAACCTAATTTCTGTTTAAATTTTAAATCCAAATTGCAACAATGAAAAGTGTCAATGAATTAAGGCTGGTCTTATGTGCCCTTCTTCTTTAGGATAAGTTTGACTCTGGCTAAGATACAATGTACTTATACACACATACTCCATACAAGCACAAACTTTTGACTCATACAAATATACATTTAGAACTAATACCTACAAAGTAGTATCACAAGTGAAATAAAAATTACACTATTTTTAACAAATTCAATCAACACATTTACAAATTCTACAGAATATTTTATCATTGTCATTGGGAAAACAAACAATGTAGAGCATTATTTAAAACTGTATGTAACACAAGAGCCACCAGTAAGTTATGGCAAAGATAGCATTTACACCACAGTGTCACTGAAATCTAGTTGAAAAGACTAAAAGTGCTGTAAAATGCTTTTAAAAACCTTGTTTATCATATCCTGAGGGACACTGTGCATTATTTTCTAATAGCAATTCAAAATGTGAGCATGTTGCCCAAGGAGCTCCCATTTACTCGAACCACCCAAAGTTAGAAGATTGTGTCATTGGATCTGTAAAACTACAGAACTGAAAAAACTCATGAAAAAATGCATTTCCTGAGACTTTCAAATTTCCAGTCTGGAATCCTAATAAGGGAGAACCTGAACAATCAAACTTGGCTAAAAAACATGTCAGAACTTCAAAGAAATTGAAACAATTTTAAGTGAAAAATTGTGTATGTGTGGTGTGTGTAATTTTTATTCAAACTCATCTCAGATTCCCCAGCTTCAAGTATAATTGACAATCTATTGAGACTATTACAACCAGGCATTTCCTATTCCTGACGGTCTTGTTTTTCATTGGTTTTCTAGTGATTTTTCTCCTTTTAGATGTTTAAATATTTGAAATATGTGTGTGTATACTAACATAGGAAATAATGACTTTGAGAGTTAAAATAGCAATAGAATCAGGTTGATTCGAGTACAGTTTCAACTGGAATTACACGTGTATGAAATGTATGCGTGTGTGTGCACATGTGCATGTGTGTGTATTTGCAAGTGTGTATGAACACAAGTGCATACATGCCAGCACTCTGCTCTAATACATTCACTGCTAGGTGGCGCTCCATGAAAAGTGAGTTTTCCCAGTATGGCTGAAAGCGAATATTGAGGTCAACATATAGAATATCCTAAGGCTTTTAAAAGGTGCCTCCTCATTCTCTGTATTCACATAATTGTGTGATAATAAGGGAGACATAAATGATAATGGCAGGAGAAGTATTCATGATGTTGGTCCTTTGAAATAACAGACAGGAAAGCGAACTTAAAAAAAAAAGTTTTTGCCTATTTTCCCCCACCCCACCCACTCTTTAATTTCCTGTTGTAGATTGGGTAAAGGTTGGATTTTCTTTCTAGTTTTTGTATGTTTGTTTTTTTCTTTTTCTTTTTCTTTTTTTTGCCTTGAAGACTTGCGACATAAAGTCTTAAGGAACAAATAAAACAAAAAGTGCACCAAGATGCATTTACTACCATCTTGGGATCTATTTGTAGCCCTTGTGCTCCTAGCTTTCTGGAAAGACAATGACCAGCTATGGCAAAGGAGCATAGGGTGAGGGTAAGCTTTGATTGCATATCATCATCTCTTATGCCCTTGAAGGCCCATAGCCTGCTCCCTAAATGTGCTTTAGAGCAGCTACTGCACAAAAGACAGCCCAAGGCATCTTTTCTCCATTGCCCTTCCCGAGAAATCCCTCTTAGAGATTCCCTCCTTCTAGCTGGAGCACTCAATTCCTTTCTACTTTTTCCGTCCTTTAGAAATTAAGGCAAAATCAAACTCTCAGTGCCTGTTATATAGGTACTGCATTCCATGTAGAAACCATACATTGGCTTAAAGTACCTTCTGTCTAACAAGATTTCTGTGTGCATATCAATAGCAATTACAAGCTTTCCCCAGTTAAGAAACTGCACAGTCTAACCCTTTATCGTGCTTGTTTTTGTCCAGCACCCAAATGACAAATATGACAACGTTAATTAGAAGCGAACTTTATAAGAAAGCATCTAAGTTCACGAAAATACAACATAGTTACCTCTATATTTTATTCATTTTTTCATTAAAATGTTGAAAGATCTGTTTTCTGACATATTTAATACAAGGATTTGTGACTTTAACGCAAGTTAAATCCTTGTGTCATTACAAGTGTGTCTGGCTAAAGAAACTCCTGAGAGATGAATAATGAATAGTCAGAGAGAAAATCTTCCCTGAAAGCAAATTTACAAGACATAAATTTTAATAATCTACAATCCTTTAAAAAAGGAATTGTATCCAGTTGCACACAAAGAGCAGGTTAAAGAGAAAGACAATAAAACTGCAAGGGAGGAGAAAGTGGAAAGAGGAAAAGAATGATATTTATAAATAAGCTAGAATATTTTTACAAAAATATCTCAATGTGATCAGTTATTCCACTTTCAAAAGTCTTGCCCCTCATTTTGACACACTGTTAAAGGTTTAAGTCCTAAAGTTGAATTATTTAATATTATTGTTTTCATTTTAGAAGAATTGTACTGTGTCTGTCTTTATTGGTGTGAGTGTGTAGTCGTATCTATTTGCCTGCACAGAAGTTGGTATGTGTTGGTATATTGTGTATAGCAAGCTGTATACATATGATTGAAATTGTACAATGTATCTGTCTTGTGTACATGCATGCTACTTGGTCTACCTTAGGTAACTACATACTCTTCATAAACATTTTCTTAATTTTAAACAATTTCAATTTCCTCCCTGCAGTTTCTAATTAGTACTATTTTCTGATAATGAGTATTTATAATCTTGAAATTAACCCTTGATTATTTATAACCTTGATTTATATAATCTTGAAATCAGCTCCCTTATCTAGTTCTAAACAATTAAGCCTTAAGTCCTATATTAAAATTAATTAAAAGCTGAAGGCATGCTTTTATGTCTCTAAGGTTCTATTTGTATGGGCTGTGTTGTCCCAGGAAACTATTGAGGTGTAATAATTTCTAAATATAAAGATAAAATAATAATTACCAGAAGTTCTATAGATTTTTATAAATGTTTTCCAATTTCTACTTGAGGCAGATAGGTAAGGATTATTGTGCTCTTTTTAGGATTATTTTAGACTTGTCAACTATCTAAAGACACCAAGGAGAAAACAACACTCAAAATTGTGTTTTGATCTTTCCTGTAGAGCTGAACTATCAAATGTTAGACCACAGAAACTTTGTAGAAACTTTTGCCTCTGCCTTATTCTTGCCCCTGCGGTGGGCTGGAACACAGAAGAGATCAGGTGGTAGTAATTTTAAACAAGCCTTCCCAGGCCACACATATTTCAAGAATTTCCTAAGTGTATTTCATGTATCTTCGTGATTTGAAATAGTTTCCAAACATTGCCCTAACTTTTTCTGTCACCTTTTTCCTTTTCTCCTTTCAAGTCAAAAATTTGAGTTGAAGCATCTTAAATAAGACTTTGAGATTTTCCATATTTAGAAATCTCAATCTCATAGGAGAGTTTGTGCAGTTTTTCTTTCCTTTTTTTTCTTTGTTGAGAATTGCTAAGAAAGGTTTTTTTCTAAAGAGTTCATTTCCTGATTTTAACATACCTGCTATTATTTATTATTTACTGGGCATCTGCAGGGCAATTTTATTTAAGCGATTACTGAATTAAAATGACATCTATCTCTCCTCAGCCCTCCTGTTTTTCTGTACGGAGTTGGCACTCATAGTTTTTCCAAAAAAGTTTTTACTCTATATTCATAGCTGCCTTAAATAGAAATACTGTGAAACACTATTATTTTCATATAACACAAAAATCACTGATAATGGTCTCCAATATTACTGACGCAGGGAAACTGATTTGATGCATATGTTCTATGACCAAAAGTTAGCTATGACTGTCCAATTGCAGATGACTACAGAATACTATACCAAATCCCACAAAACAAATTTCAGTACGACAATGTAATGCACATTATGCTGGGCATTCAATTGTTTTGAGTCCCATTTAGCATCTCATTAAAAAGAGCAAGCGTGAGGCAGCAGAGAGGTTAGAGGCTATAGAGAGTGGAAGAGCCCTAGGCTGAAATTAGAAAATGCAAGAAGTAAACACTCAGGAGTTAACATTACAAAGACTAATTTTGAAAACAAAATTCACTGGTTGTTTTGTATCCCTAACACTAGAAGTAGATTTTGCTAATCAAGTGGGAAATGAAATATTTATAACAATGCAGAATATAATTTAATCACTGAAGAAATGGTTTCCCCCTTTTCCCACCCACTATCAGCCCTAATCCCTTCAGAGACTCAGTGGAAGAGGAAGATCACTGTTTATAGATAATATGCCTAATACATTGAGTCTTCTCTAGCTTATTCATGGACACTCCAGACAGTACTATCAAGTGTTGGCTTCTCCTTCATCAAAGACATAGTTGAGCTTTATGACAGTGCTGATAAAATCACCAAGTTCTACAAAGTCGGCAGTGACAATATTGATGCCACTCTCTCCTGGCTTCTGCGTGCGGACCCACTGCATCATGGCAGGAAGAGCTCTACAAAAGAAAACAAAAACATAAATTACAGGAGGCAAAGCATTATTTTTCAAACTCTTTAATTCCCTTTATTTTTCTAATCATTAAAATAAATGTCCTAAGTATAGAGACAGATGGGGGGAAAGGCCAATGAACAACGGTGAGATCTTAACATTTAAAGAAAGTCTTCAGGAAAAATATTCACTAGATGGGTCTACATTGGACACTTCACCTTTGGAGATCTCAGATACTGTGCTAGCTTATAGGGAAGCTTCTCCACTAAGAAAACAACTTTCTTGCATTCCTATTCTGGTTTAGTGTACCATATCATAAACCCTACTAAACTACGTGGTAGTGAAGCCAAAGAGAAATGCATGCACTTAGCAAGTATTTATAATGAATCTTGTATTTTTGGAGGAAATGTAATACATTGTAAACAGACACAATAGCAAAAATCCTTGCCTTCAAAAAGTTCACAGTTCAGTGGTGGGCAGGTGGACAAAGAAGAAAATTATAATATAATACAAATTAGGATTCATTTCTCCAAATACATTTACGGAGTACCCATTAAGTCCCAGACACTATTGTAGGTATTTGGAAAACTCCAGTGAACAAAAACGGATGAAAATATCTGCCTTTAGGAAGTTTATGTTCTCATAAGGAGAGGAAGAGAATAAATAATAATTATAAATAAATTATATTGTTTGAAAGGAGGGAATAGGTGCTATAAAAATGGGACCAAAAAAAAAAAAAAAAAGAAAAAGAAAATTAATACCATGTAGATGGGGAGGAGTGATACAGATTACAGCTTAAAATAGGATGACTTAGTAAGCTTCATTGGTAGAGGGACATTTGTACAAAGGTTTGAAGGAGATGATGGAGTTGGTCAAGTAGCTGTCTAGGAAAAGCATCCAACGACTGCAATGCTTTAATGGGTAACATGCCTAAACTTGGAGAAAGGAAAAGGAGAGTAATAAAATAAGTCACAGAGATAATAAGGAAAGGGATCATGGAAGTCGCTGTTGGCCAATGTAAGGACTTTGAGGTTTACTCTATGTAGAATGGGTACCCTTTGGAGAATCTTAAGCAGAGACATGCCGTAATCTGACTTCACTATAAGAGTTCATTTATTACTATGACAGCAGGGAGGAAACTCACCTAGCATAGCCTGGGAAGTCAGGAAAAATCTTCCAAATGAATTCCCCCTGAGCTGAGTATTGAGATATTAGGAAGATCTGGCTGAATAAATACGGGAATGGGAGATGGAAGATGGTGAATACAGTTTTCAGGCAGAGGAAAGAAAGAGCATTTCTTTGTTCATTGACAGAAACATGATATGTGCTGAGGAAGAAGGAAAGTGGGCTGAGACATACAGGTAATGATGATGATGTGCAATGCCTTTTTGAAGTGAAGCATACACTGACTTGAGTGTGGCAGGAAAGGAGGCCTCCATGATAAAGAGATAAATAAACTGAGGCCAGAGACATGACAGTGTATTAGCAAGGAAAATGTGAGAAAAACACGTGAACATTAAATTTCTGGATGACATGGAGAGGGAGGAAGAAAGAGATAGGGAGAGGGCAAGAGAGAATGATGAGTTTAAAGAATTCAGAGTTGATCAACAAAATTTAAGGAAGTCTTGGAAGATACTGGAGATGATAGAAGGCCTTGAAAAGTATGTTACAATTGAAAGGTGTTAAGAGGGAAATTGTATCATTGTATTTGAGATTTAATTTACCTTCTGTGTAGATTTTTTAAGAGAGAACAAGATTCCGGGCAGAAATAACAATTAAAGGGCTGCTGAGATAATCCAGACCATAGATAATGGTTGCTTGAATTGTAGTAGCAGTAGTGGATATATTTGAAAGAGACTAAAAAGATAAAATGACATCTGATGTGAGATGGGATGTATATGTAACAGGAGAAAGAGGCTGTGAGTTATGCCTAAATTTTTAGCAGTATTCTGACAGGTGGGCATCATCACTAATCTTGCAAAGATAGGAGTAAAGATGGACCAGCAGAGGTGCTAAATTAATCTAAGACATGTTGATGTTGAGATGACTTTGGGACACATAAATTGAGCTCTCAAATGCAACTCAGTACAGGCCTGGTATTCAGTACAGAGTTGGTCGGGAGCCTTCACATATAGAAAATAGTTAGGGTTATAAGAGTGGAGGAGAACACCTGGGAAGATTTTATCGAGGAACACGGAAAATTGGAAGATCAGCAGCATTTAAGGGATAGGCAGAAAAGGTTGATTCAATAAAAGAGAAAGAGAAGTGGGTATATAAAGGAAATCAGAAGAATACTGTAATGATAATCAAAGAAAGAAGTGAGCCATTCTTTTGGAAACTTAGAAGACTTGAGTGAGGTAGTATGTAGTGTAATACATGTTTATTTCTCAGGAAGTTTATCTTGTCAAAACAAACTCAACCTATCCTGGAAAACTAAGTCAACTGCTTTGGACTACACTAAGCCTCTGTGCAATATCTTTAAAATCCTGATCCATATCTTTTAGCATATACTTTTTCCTGTAGGGTGCAGATAGGGAGGATCCAGCTGCTTTTTAAAGAGCATTAGATGGATCCCAAAGGCCCTGTGCCCTCAGAAAATCATATAGCAGGTTGGAAAATATGGTTATCACAGCAATAGTTTCAGAGGAGAATTCTACCTTAAAATGAAAAGTCTGGCTACCTGGAGCACAGACACAGTGTATTCTAATTCATTAGAGAGACAGTTGTGGCAACATGTGTGTATCCATTCACATTTGAATCCCATTATTTTATCTTCTGGACTTGCTAGAACCATTGAAGCAGCTCTTTAGTGAATGCAGCATCACTTTTGCAATTTAGAAGGAGCAAGCACTCTTTGAAAAGAGCATCAATACTGGTACATTTCCTGGGAAGAATGTGTTTTCAACAGACATACTCGCCTTGAGAAGTAAGGCACAGAGTAGAAAAGAGTAATGCTAAGGCCTGTCCTGTCTCTGTATTAACCTTAACTGAACAGGTTATTCACCATATTCCTTAGGTACTAGGTTATAGAAGGTACCTGAGCAACCCAATCTCCTTCTTAGAACCACTATCATCAGAGCTCCTCAGATGCTCTGTACTGCTCTGAGATTAAAATTCATGAGCTTGAATTTAAAACAACTAATTGTTATCCCATGGAGAAAAGCCAGAGAACACACAAGTGCTCTTTTCTATTTCTCTGTAAAATAGATTGCTTTGAAGATTAATGAAACATTCTTCTGGAATACCATATCATCCTTAGATGAAAAACGAGCATTACGTTTAAAGTATCATTCCTCTGAGCCATGAGAATACTTCTATTTTCTGTTCAGACACACTTTCCTAAAGTCAATATGATACCAAAGACAAAACAAGCACTAATGCCAAGTCGAATGTCAAATACTCAGACAGTCATAAGAAGAATTATGTTAAGAAGAAGACTCATGATATTGGATTAAAAATAGCAAATGCTACTGAAGTTAACAACAAGTATTTAAAGTAACATTTCTTAACCTTTTTTTTTTTTTAAGATGATTGCCCATCAAGGAGCCTTTTCAAATACTTTTTTCCTACTTGCCCTCCTTCTCCATGAAATTTTAATTCCATGGCTAGAATGTATTCTTCATATATCTGTGCATACAAAGTTCTTATACTGGCTTTACATATAACAAGAACAAACTTTTTATTTGATCTTCAAAGAACCAATTTTTGCCCCTACTGGGGCAATATTTTCCATTGAGAATGTATATAACTAATTGGCAATTTCTCAATGATAGTGTTGAACACTATTTTTGGCCCAGATATTATGCCAATCCATCCCATCCAAATTTAGGTAAAGAACATTTTTCTTTACATTTTTTATTCCTTAAGCATAGTTTTATGAGTGTAGATAGCACACAGCATTGAAATCCATTATCCATATCTATCAGAGCCTGTACACTTTTCATAAAAAAAATCATAGTCATAAATATAAAAGACTGACAAACAAAATATCAGCAGGTGGTTTGAGGTTAAGGTGCTGGATTCCCACATGGCTGACTGTCCCAGATCCAGCAGCTTGAAAATCCTTCTGAGTGGATGTGCGGGTGTGCCCAAAGTCCCAGGAAGAGAATGTGAAGAAAAGATTGCAGCATGCCCGTCCCGCCTGGGAGGTTATTTCTCACTTTCCCTTTCACTGTCTCTGTTTCCCTCTAGTAAGCACATGTACCCTATGCCAAAACCCTAAAATAATTAATTAATTAATTAAAAAGCCAACTAACAAACCTCTCACAACAACTGTATTGGAGAAATTTGAGTTCTGGTCCTAACTAGAGTAATGCATTTTATTTATAATCTTGCATATATTATGCAAACCTGCTGAGCAATTTTCTCTAATTATAAAATAGGAATATAATAATACTTTGAGGTTAGGGCTGGCAGGTGGCATAGTAGTTAAAGCTCTGGACTTTCACAAGGCTGTACATGGTTCAAGTCCTGGACCTGGAAGCTTGAAAATCATGCCAGGTGTGTGTGCATATGTGCCCAAAATCCCAGGAGGAGAATGGAGGAGAAGGGATTGCAGTGTGGCCATCCTCACTGGGGTGGCAATTTTTCATTTTTCCCTCTCACTGTCTTTCTCTCTCTTCTCTGGTGAGCACATGCACCCTGTGGCAAAAACTTAAAAAAACACTCAATACTTTGGTGTTACTGTGAAGATCAAACCTATCCTCCTCCCACAGTCATCCTCACATCCTGGTGATGATAGCTATGATGGTGTCATTCAAATGTGTTCCAGGGTTATTCAGAACTACTTGGCCATAGCCTTGAATGTAAATGTGTTTTAGGAGTCACAGGCTATGAACACAGAGTTGCTGTCACACCAGAAACTTGGGGCACAGGGACTGACCAAGCCTCACCACAACCTAACTATACTAAGTCTTCAAAGGAAAAAATTCAAAGGGGTATATCTCACCTTACTCCAGTAACTTATTTATTTACTTTGATTTCTGTGTTGTTTAACAAAAAGCAATG